ATTTCTAATTAATTCATATTGTCTGCTGACTTGGTCAATATAAAAAGTCAAATTTCGATGCCAGAGGAACAATATAAGCAGAATGGCGCAATTATGTTTACGTAATATATTAAAGGGAAAAAGAAGTAAACTGTAATTTGAAACTCCCTGCTGTAAATTTGTCTCATTTTCTTTTACCTTGAAGGGTTTTTTTATTTAAAAAAACTGTGAAATTGTTCATTAAAACTAAAACCAGTCCTATGTTATAACATGAGAGTGACGCTGATGTTTAAAATAAAATGTGTAATTTATAAAGAGGCACTGAACGGCACATTTTGTTGTATCAGTGTCTCTCAGTACAGATACTGAAACACTATTGGAAATGAAATTGCACACAATAATCTAATTATACATTTTAAGTTCTACTTGAAAAAAATTGTTTGCCTCAAATGTTCATGAATGTATGTATGTATGTTGAACTTCTTTCACACCGTATGTAGCTAACCGTGCTAATTGGAAATGCGGGAGAAGGATAACAAACTAAACACAAAAATCAGTTCTAAAGAAATTCATTTTCAATCTATATTTAAAAGTGCATAGCTAATATCGGACGGTCAGAGCATTCCAGACGGCTGCAAAAGAGCATATGAAAGTGCACGATGCAGTGACTAACTTTGTTTGATGGCTAGCCAAAATCCGCTGTAAGGATGACTGTTGTTTGCATGATGGTTTATGCTCCTCGACGATATCAATAAGGTATTGTGGTTAATTTGTGGCAAGTATTTTGTGTGTCATGAGTGCGAACTTATGTATTCATTCCAATGCAACTCGGCAAGCACCGGACGGACATGGTCGGATATGTTGACACTATTGACCCTTCCCCATTCCAGTGATGAATGTGTAAGAAAAACTAAAATAAAAGAACGTTATCGGTACGTTTTCAGGTCGGAAAAAAAGTACAGAGGCTCGCACAAGGCCACGAGGGAGGGCGTGTAGCACAGTTTGGCGCCAGCTATCACAGTGCAGTCGCTCCAGTTCTCTGCGGTGAGTATGTCTTTACAAACAACGGTGCTATGCCTCTCTAGATAAAAAATTAATGCTAATTACTTGCTCGTTCCGAAATCCAGCAGTGAACGGGACCCACCCTGCAACTTGCAGACGTCTCAGAACAAGAAAGGGTTACTAATAGATTTTGCAGCACAATTTGGCAATCCACTGTTTGATAAAGGCCTCCCAATGCCGTGTCACTCAGGAGGGTTGTTTGGCCAAACTTTATCATGGTGGTCAGTGCCTTTGGTGCCGATATTTATACACCAAACTAGGTTCTGATTAAAGCTGCGTTGACCAAGTGGAGACCCAGGACAAGTTCAGTTATTACATTCCACTGATGTTAGCTGTCGCAGGGATATGAATGCAGGGTCAATGGGTGCACAGCGCAGTGTGTTAACCACTGAGCCACCACTCCACCCCTGAAAATATTTTTGCTGAATTATAAATATACAATGCAAAGTATTTGCACGTATAATAATAGTATATATAGTATATATTGGACAAACATTCTATGCAGTGAAATTATAACCATGCAGGCACCATTTCTTTTAACATTGGTGTGAGATTTTATATGGGTCAGGGTCAAACTCTTCAGGTGTAGCGTTTTTTGTTTAATGGGCATGACAGTAATTTTATAGCAGAGTTCAAATAATATATTGCCAATTAAACAGGGAGAAAACACATATTTGAGTATACGGCATACAATGTAGAGTATGCGAGAGCCTAATACACGTTTTAAATATTACATTTACATTTCCTTCTCATTATTAACTAATCAACTATAGGTTAACTACAGATAATTATTTGCTAATGAAGTCGTTCCCAAAAGATCTTACTTTTAATGTGACCAACAATCACACCATTTCTCAACTTTGTGAAAATGACTTTGTGGTTGCATTTCCATCAAGATTTAATGCCTAATGTGAACATAGATTACAGTGTCGTGATGTGACCGACAGTGAACCCTCATGTAAGGATGGCAGATTTATTGGGTTTAACAGTGTGGTATGAATGGAAAGTATATACTAGTTGTGACAAAAAAGTACCCACAAGCACTCTCGTAGCACTATTGTAATACATTTAACTACAAATTATGCAAAGGCATGATTAGAAACAAGCTTGAGTGCAGATTCAAGCATTTTGGTTAAGGATGTACAAACAACAAGGGATACATTGTCTGAATACTAATTTGTATGTATTTTCAGATATCGGGCAGTCCATCAATTATAGTTGATGTTTTACCAATACGTACATCCATCATGCTTTACCCTTCAAGATGCTCCAATAATGCCGCATAATCATGAAAATCAAGTTGCTGTAATGCAGTACTTTCCGATTTAATTGGGTCTCGCCATGAAGCGATGCCAATGTTCCATTAACCTTAGGCCTTCACGCGTGGACTTTGATACATATATTTTAACTCTATTCACATTCAGGAGTTCCGTGAGTAAGTGCACGCCATTTACAAAATCAAGACCAGTCAGTTTCAATCCATGGCACTGTGACTCATACTCACCGATGTGTGATGTCTCGATGTATTTGCAGTTCAAAAATGAAGGCTAAGAATCACAACCCCTCAAACATTAATGTTGAACAGCCTTGGAGTTCAGGCTCACATGTTACAGATACCAGACTGGGAAATAAAATGGACTATGATAACCATGCTCTAGTATCACAGCAGAAAAAAAAGCATAATTTCACTATTGAGATCATGATTTGTTTCAAGGTAAAAGTATGGTGAGTAATTGCTAAAATACTATATACAGGGGACTTCAATTTTTTTAAACACTTAAATGGGTCGATCGTTTTTAATGGAAAAGAACGGATAATACACTGTAACTTGATAACAAATGTATGTTGATAGCTTCAAAAAGTCTCCACTTGTTCGCCATCATTGTCAACACATGCCTGGAATCTTCTCCAGGTGGTCTCCAGAGGCCGGAGGCACATTTCTTGTGGTGTTGTTGAAAATTTTCAGAAGTGTAATCATTTTCTTCAAGCACCCTGTATTTTTTCTGCATCTAAAGTGAATGATGGTAGGTGGTATACCCAATATACCCAATATGGACTCTTTGATAGGTATAAAATAAATAAATCACGACGTTTCGGGCGCAACACAAGCGTCCATCAGACTACAGACTACAGTCTGCCTCAGCAGCAGACCATGCTTTCCCACCTGATGATGGACGCTTGTGTTGCGCCCGAAACGTCGTAATTTATTTTATTTTATAGCTACGTCACTTTACCGAAAGAACCAAAGAGTATGGATTCCTGCAGTCACGAAAGCTTAAAATCAAGATTACCCAATATGTATTTGAAAACCATGAATTTCCATTATTTTAACATTATCAACATCGTTCAGTCTGTAGAGGATGTCAGTGTTCACCACTTTACATGAAACTGATCTCATTTGAAAAGAGAACAATAATAGCTTCAGTGAAATAAGTGAGCACATTTGTTTTACTTTTACTGCTTTCATCAACAGTGATATTGATCCAAAACTTTGGAATATAGTCATCAGGTATTGACTATCAAAAAAAAAGTATTAAAAAATTATCGTATAGGGGTGTCATATGTTTAGTTCTTGCAAAGTAGTTTTTATTGTATTTTATATTTTTAAAATCACGAAACCTTCAAATAATGCATGGCTCCTGAAGGAAATTTCCCATACGTATATTTCGTGGAGATAAAGAGCAAAGCTTGCAAATACAATACACAGCCATTAAAAAAATGAAATTACTGTAATAGTAATGATAATAATAAATACAAATCTGAGTAATCCAGAAATGGTACATTGCATTCCATAAATTAGTTCGTAAACTAGTCACAGTGTGAACTAAGCTATTTCAGGCAGGAAACGCAGCATGGCACCCAATTAATGCAATATAGCCAGAAATGGTTTTCGAAGGTGCAACGTCTCTCCACTGCCGGCAACTCTGTGGAGACGTGCATGGAGTCACAAGGCAGTTTAAACCACAGCAACTAATGAAATGCCCACCACTTCAAAATGAAACAAATGTCCGGTGGCAATTTGAGGAATGCTTGGCCATGTGTTTTGTTAAAAAAGTGAAAGCGGTGTATTGCTCAAATAAGTTTGAGGCAGTGGTCCGTCTCCTTTCATATCCCTGAGATAGTGGTGACAAATACACATTTCTATGATGGGACCAAGTGTGTCCATAGGAATTTTACTATAATATAGGTTTTTGGGTTAGATCGCGTAACTATAAATGTGTCGTTTAACCCGCCACCACCCGACACAGCCAATTAGTAAGGTTTGCCACATAAACAGAACATGCCAATTCGTTACTAGCACAACACACCGGTGTGTTGGAGAGCAAAGCCACAACATTTACAATCTGAGTACGACGTTTCAACGGTTGACCTCCCCAATAAGTGGTACCTATGTTATCCATGCCAGAAGGATGAAGGGCTGAGTGTACCCCTTACCAGAATTTGAACTCGCAACCTTCCAATGTCCAGCTGCTCACTCTACCGCGGTTATGTTAGAATACATTATTTATATTTTCACTCTTTAATGTATGCAGTAATCTTTGCACTATATAGGATTATTATTATTATGATACATAGGTGTCTTTTCTGGTTCGCAAATATTATACTTATTTCTGTGTAATTCCTGAAATTCCCCACATAGTTCTTGAAATCTTGAAATGTCATTTCAATCAAATCTCACTATCCTTCGAATGAAGAATACTGACCTATATCATGTGCTCTTAGGCTAGAAATTAGATATTGAGGTACTACCACAATTGCCTCTGTATATAACCTTTAAGTGCATCAACAATATTGCAAGGATCAGCATAAGTACGTCACATATCTGACCAATTAACTACACATCCGACCTATTCGTATATGTGCCCATATCTTTGTCTCCAGTGAGTTGGATATGCAACATTGTAGTGCATGGTAGAACACACAGAAACAAGTGTGTTGCATTGTGCGCTTACACTTACCTCGCTCGAAAATTCTCTGGCCTGGCTTCTCCATCAAAAACCAACATGAAGTCAAACTCCTGCTCCAGAGCAAAAGAAAGGAAAGTCAATTGAATTCGACTCTTGTTCGTGGCCACGATGATCCAGGTGCAATTGGCTTTGTTGGGGTATCCATATGGAAATCCGGGGCTTTCAATAGTTCCATTCAGACCTTGAAGGGTTTCATCACAGGTATTCTGACCTGCAGAAAGAACAGAAAATCACAGCATATGTTACTGATAAGGTACAGATCAATTTGAACAACGAAATGTTTACTATCTCCCAACTCCAGGTGATTGAATTAAAACTGCATTGTACCAAAAAGAATGCTTTTGAATAGTGAGCCAGTACTGCCTGCTTTCGCCCCTTTACTGAACAAATGGATTGTCTACATTGAACACAATTGTAATGTGCCCTGATGTGTTTTAGATGAGGTGCTATCTCAGCGCCATAACAGTCATCTAGAGTTAATCAGCACCTTGGCAGTGGAGCCTATCTCACACTAATCTGAGGCTTCCGTAAGCCAGATTGCATTGTCACAAACACGGTGTCTGATCATCTCCACAGTTGCTGAATGGGTCATCCACAAGCAATCAAAAATATATATTTGCGTCCCAACTCAAGAGCGTGGCTGGCAAAGGGATGTGGTGAGATTTAACAGCATGAGAGGAAGACTTCCTGACATCCCTTAGTTGGAAGCTAAAAGAATTGGTATACTTATACTAAGTGCCTCAATCCCCCATGATTATGATATATTCAGGAATATGATGCAGCATACAAGCAAGACCTGCCTGCTGCTTTCTTGTCTGTCAAATAAAGAACTAATTATGCTGTAAACTGCTTAAAAAATATGCATTTGAAGCTAAAATATTTAGCAATGATGAAATCCCATAAATGCATGCTAAATTTGACGACAAAATATACACCTTTAAAAGTATAACCGCATTTATGTAAATAGTTAATATTGATGTAAGTTTTCTAAATTGTACGTGTACATGTTATTAATACATGCAATTTCCTGCTCAAGTGACCATTGAGACATTGCTCATCTCCTGCTTTCCTACGGCAGGGGGTGAGTATCAATAGGACAACCAATCTTGACTTTCCCACAAAGCAATCCTAATGTTATGAAACCCAAAGGTATTATGGGCTGAGTCAACCCCCAGCCTGAATTTGAACTTGCAACCTTCCGATTGCGAATGGCTCGGCCAAGGGCTGAGTCACCTGGCTCAGTGGGAGACAGCGCAGGAACACTGCCATAAAGATGTAGGCTTACTCTTTGCCACGTAAATTACCTCATATTAGAGCATACATGCTTCTATTTCTGGATTTTTCAATTAAAATATGAATCAATTAATTACGTTAGAAAAAATACCATCAAGCAATTTTGAAGGCCATTACATGGGACAATCACACATCTGTCAAGTATATCCTTAGCCAAGGACCTCGCACACATCTGTCATTCCAAGGCCATAAAATACCTAAGTACCACCTTGAGTATGGAAAGTCTCAGCTCTAATTAGTTGCCTCTTTTCTAGGGTCAATTTAATTGTCCCAGTCAGCAGAATACTTCAAACACTTATATTGATGACTTTGTCCTCCCAAATTACTGCATAATTCATGTGAAAGTAGGCATTCCAATTAAATATATTTTCATTTTTAACAAATAGCTCTGCATGAATCTTACATACCATCATATGTAAATCCTGTTGCTTATTAGCAGATACAGAAGCACACCCAAAAGCAACCCCAAGAAACCCTTGTTGTAAAACAGCATTCTACACATTTAACTTTTTGTCATTTCAGACATTGTCCAATGGTATCATGCCAAATTTCATGAAATATACAGTCTTACAAAGAAAGGTAATTTGAGCAATTTATTTTATATTAAAGTAGTAAATTGTGGCTCTACAACTAGACAATTAAATCGCACAAGGAGGAAGACGATAGCTTATCAACCTCAAGTTTGTCAAGTGTCTTGAAGTGGCATTCGTATCCTAATGGTCCAGTCTCTAGCAGAAGTACATGTTCATGGCCTCGTGAGATATGTTCAGATGCTTATTTACTCATACTTTGCCGTAGTGACATAAGTCAACTATAGTGTAATACACATGTAAATGAAGAAAACATTTAGATTTGCTTGATATTAAACATCAGATGAACAAAAAAATATCGAATGATGAAATTGGTGTTTTGTTAATTATATCTTTTCCTATGAACACACAGCAAAAAAATTGCATGTCATGCCTTTGCAGAGGCGATTCAGCTGTATGATTTGATCTCTGCCGCAGACTCCTGCAAATGGTAACTTACGGACCACATAACACCAAGAGGAAGACTAAAGCCCACTACACTTGAAGTTAAGCCTTTTCCCTTTTAGAATCTTTTTCAAAACAGAAACAAAGAGATCACCTAAGGTCACTCATATAAAGGAAGACTATGGATCAAAAGATAGCTTATTTTGTAGATAAAGTCAGGTGACCTTAGAAACATTCGAGTTTCAAGCTGGTAATTAGTCCTGCGGGAGCCTCTGAGAGCCATTATAAAGTTTCAAGTGTGTGTGTGTGTAACCAGCAAGGACTACACTAAGCATTTGTGTGACCCTCTGCAGTATCAGTGGAATGGCTTGGCCATTCATGTTGACCTTCGTCTTTTGGCTTTTACTTTATTTGCAAATGGAGCCCATTCAGTGAATGCGATTTTCGAGAATAAAACTGCAGGTCACACTCTTATATGTGTTAGATGTCTTGCCAGTGTATTATGGTATCACTCTTTGGGATGTGAGCAATGAAATGCAAAACTCATGAAACAACTGTGTTCTTAGAGTAAACTAATAGTTACCTTTAAGTTCTTTGGTCAATCTACTGCTAGATGCATGCCTTTCCATGCCATTCATTCATGGAATTTGTTTGATCATACTACTCCACGCTGGTCAGTCCGAATTAACGACCCAACAACAAGTAAAATATCACTCGCCACTGATGTTAGCCGGGGCCGATAATCAAACTCGAAGTGCAGTGCACTAACCACTGCGTCACTGTCCCATGATAACCTATATAGTGATGTCGGGGGGGGGGGCGGGAAGTGAAATTGAATGCAGTACTCTAATTAATTTTACTTTACATAATTGGTTTAAAGTAAACTAATCATTGTGTGTCGAGGTCAATCTATTTAGATTTATATCTCCACAGATAACAATTCATTATTTTGGATATTATTTACCACGGAGGGATGTGTATATAACTGAAATTCCTCTTGAATAAAGAAGCCATTGTACATCACAGTCGAATTGTATATCAATAAACGTTGTGCGATTGATAATGAATGTTCGTCAGAGTGCTGTGTGATGCTTTACATCAAGTAATACATTCTATTGATCAGTAGAAAGTGCATTTCCATCAATAGCCGACGTACCTTTATGTGAACACTATGTATCAGTGAAGTCAACAAATGTCAACAATAATAGCATCTGCCACATTGTCATTAAGACACAAAATATTGCAAAACATCTGCATACCTAGCACATTCGTTTTGATTACGCACATTTATTATGCTATTTGTCAGTATTGTGTTTCTGCTATACCTTTGGGGTGTTACAATGACGACTGTAAGTGGTCGAGTCATTCTCAGTGATATTGGCCTGTTTTCTCAGCACAATATGTATGTTGAGCGTCTTTTACACCGTACGTAGCCAACCGTGCTAATTAGGAGGTATGGGATAATACATTTAAATTGTGTACTGCGGTTCAGTTAGTTGCCATTGGGCACTTGATGTGAAAAATAGAAGTAGCATTTTTTTAGTTTTGTACTTTCACTATCACCGAGAGACCAATTCTTGTGCAACACAACACTTGTCTGAAAGTGACATGACAGGCACCTCTCTTCAACTCTACTTCTTGCTTGTCCTACAGCCTGTGCACACGTATCCACCATATATGCTCATCCCTGAGATTAAGTTTATCGATTTGTAAATTGATTGACTTATTTAGCAGCAAATGGCCATTAATTTATGAGTGGGCCTTGGTGAAAACACTTTGTAAGAGTTATCCCTTTACTCCCCTGCTTTGATTCACATAGAATTCCATGTTTAGCATTTTACATGACACATCTCTGCAATGTGTGTGTTTTTGGGTTGCACAGCGTGTTGTGCAGCATGAGATCCAACGTTTCATTGCATGTGCTGGGAGCTTCTTCAATTTAGTTCCTGAAGGAGCTTCCATGGAAGCGAAATGCCAGACCTCTTGTCCACCAACTCAAAAACACATTGGATAGCAACCGTGAAAGCAATGTAACACCGCCACATCATTGATTTGCATGTCGGTACCAACCATAGATCAATGACATAGAGTACTCTCTTTTTCATGCAATTCACTTTCCCCATCAGGCAAGCAAAAGCAATTTTTAAGTCGCCTGCATACAAGCAAGATGGGTTGCCTTTGATGAACCTATGAACCTAACCCTAATTAATAGTGAAGATCTATTATCTTCTTTTGAAAGGTGGGGGATGGGTGGTCCAAATGAGACCATGAAGGACGTGGGATCCTGGGTGAGACGTGAGAGTGAAGGTGGGAGGGAGGGAGGGAGGCGTTGGGCCTTGTTTGAGGTTCAGTGTAAACTCTCTTTTTCGGCCTGAATGGGAAAGCATGGTTGCGGCAACTCTGCTGCCCGTCGTCACCTCTGAGGTCTGGAGTCTCTGGGGATTCCTGTCAATGCCATTGTCCCAACAAGACAACTTATTCATGAGGGCCACGGTCCCTCCGCAATGGTTCACTGTCACATTAAACACGGAGCTTGTATTTTTATGAAGACAGCAGCTCTCGGTGTGATGGTCCTCAGCAAAATATTAAACGTATATCAACTAAGTACATTATTACTGGTATAGTATCCCTCACTTTAAACAGTCTTCCTACGTAAAAAAAGTTATACTGTTTGGTTCTTTCGGTAAAGTCACGTAGGTATAATTTTCTTTTATACCTACGTGACTTTAGAACGAACGAGTATGGATTCATGCAGTCACGAAAGCTTAAAATCAATATTTTAAAAGTTGTATTCGCACATGCATTATCATCCTCAGCCATTACACTATGTAACAAAAAAAATTGTTCCTGGGTATTAAGTTATTTCCTAATTGTGTATGCCTCAAAAGTACAGAAAATTGCTATTATTCCCCACAAACTTTGCTTTTGTGACCAGGACAGTGAT